CCATACTCAGTGGAGCGGAAACCAGGGTGCGCCGTGACCAAGTGGTGCTCGACGGCCGCCAGCGTCGCCCACCCGTCCGCCTGCGCCGCCGTTTCTACTGCCGCATGGATTCGCTTGATCCACGTCGTCGGCAGCGTCGGTGGCGTACACCCCATGCACAGCGTTGGTGGTGCCTCGCCTTCCATCTCGCAGCGGTATGCGGCAAACGTCACGGGTCGGTTGCACGTGCTGCAGGCCACGGTCGATGTTGTCGCAGTAATAAGCGCGGTGCACGCATCGCAGTGCACGTCGCACCCGTCATTCGCCTTGAGCTCGGCTACAACGGCAGCGTGCGTCCGAGTGTACGTTGCCCCGCAGAGCCAACAGCTGCAGCGCATCTCATCCTCCGATGGTGCAAGAGGTAGGGGTGCAGCCATTGGGTCCGGTCCATCAAACGGCGGAAGCCCCAGCGCCGTGCAGAGGGCGTTGCACTCGTGCGTCGCAAAGAAGCGCGTCATGCCTTCTTCGCCGAGGTTGCCGCGACCAAAGAGCGTCTTGTCGAGCGCATGGATCTGCGGGTCGGTCCATAGACCGTCGACGCCTTGAAGGTCCACGACCAACGCTTGGCCGAGCGTGTGCTGCCACGTGAAATGGCTAAACGCTTGCGCCGTCGTCGCCGCTTTCTGGGTCCACCCACTGTTGTTGTTGAACTTGCGGTAGTCGCCGTCCATAAACGGCTCAGCCGTGAATGCCGGGAGACCGTCGACCGTGTACCAGCACGCATACAAAAAGTCGGCGCCTGGCGACGTTGCCATGGTAAACGCCGACGCGAGTGCCTTGGCGATCGTCTGCGTCTCGACATCACGGCGAACGTCGTAGCCCGTGGCTTTGGCGCGGCCAAAGTAGAATTTGGCCACGAGCGGCGAGGCCACCGTCGCGTCGACAAGTCCATGAGCTGTGCGCATGCCGCCGCGTGCGAAAGGGACCTTGCAAAGGCGGAGCGTTGTGGCGTGGGTGGCGTGGCGGAGGTCCGGCGCGGACCAGTCCATGGACCCAGGTCCCAAGCACAACGTATGGCGCTCGGCCGACACGGCATCGAGCATACCAATACCATTCCAGTCGAGAGGCAAGATCGTCATTGGTGGCGACCATTCCGGCGTCGGAGGGCGTGGGGGCGCCAGTGGCAATGGCAGTGGCGCCGAGGGCATCGGTGTGGAGGGCGCAAGCGCCGGCGAAAAGACGCTCACGCATTGGCTCGCCAATAGCACAGCGCTGCTGTGGTGCGACACGACAGGGGCAAACTTGATCTCGTCGCCCATGTTGTCGAGTGGCACGACCGAAAACAGCCCCGGGTTGCCGTGCGCCGGCAGCACGCTCTCGTACGCTTGTTCCAGCATCGCCAACATTGTTGCCGTCCATTTGGGCACAATGTCGATAAAGGCAAAGTCGATGCCGCGTGTCGCAAGCTCGCGCATCTGGCCTTGAATGCACGGACTCTCGAGGATCTCAGCGGCATACCGATGGTCGTCGCCAAGGTCATTGTAGAGCTCGCCATGGCACGGCGCGTCGGCGACCAGCACGAGGCACTTGGCGTCGGCCTGCCAGTCCAAGCGCAGCGCCGCGTCGAGACCACCAGGAATGTCTTCAGGTCCGTCGCCGCCGCCAGTGGCTTCCAGCGACGCAATGAAGGCTTCGACGCGCGCGAGCTCGGTCGTGAGCTGCTGGATCTCGAGCCGCAAACTGCCGTCGCAAAAGTCGCGGTACGCCACAAAGCCCACACGCACAGTCGCCTGCGGATGATCGACTTGGATGGTTGCAAGGATCGTCGCCATCTCTCGCTTCGCCACGTCAATCCAGAGGGCCATCGAGTTGGTGCAGTCCATGACGAGCACCAAGTCCAGTCGATTCGCGCGGCTGTACGAGCGCTGGAGGTTGGAGCGCACCGTCGCCAGGTTGGCCTGCATGTTGGCGTGGAGCGAGTGGAAGGCTTCGAGACGCTCGTCCGTTTTGGCCGCGCCACGGCGCTTCTTTTTAGCCGACTTGGAGACATTGGCCACCACCGCCGACGCCGATGCACCGTCGGCTTCTCGACGGTGGTTGTTGCCGCTGGGTGTGCTCATTGGTGATGGGTGTGTACGGAGCTCGCCAATCTCAAAATGAGCTTCGCTTCATTGAGCGCCAAAAATAGAATATCGGCGAGAATTCGAACCTACGTGGCATCGTCCCGTTGCACCAACGATCTCATTGCTGATTGGCTCCGTATACCGGTACAAAGGCCAACGAGCTTTTCGCCGAGCGTTCTCGGATGCTTCGTCTACGAGTGACATTACGTTGGCGGGGTTGCTGTTGGAAG